GGGGTGGGGGTGCAGCAAAGTCGGAGGCAGCTGGCCCGGCCAGTGTCACGCAGCCCTGTAGCAGCAATGTCTGGTTCCTGGCTCAGCTCCTTTCACAGACTCCAGGGACGCCCGGCCCAGGGCACCCCCTCGCTGGCGGGAGCAGAGGACCTGGAGGAGGTGCAGGGAGATAGGCGGTGGACAGAGACCAGCGCTGGGCTTATCGGTCCCCTGGGCCCTCCTGGCCCAGGAACGGCAGCGAGAACCATTGTTATCGCCCGGCCAGGGACTTGCAGAAGAGGCAGATGCAGGGGAGGGCGGGAGGGCTGAGCCCCTCGGCAGACGGCACTTCTTCAGCAGACGGCACTTCTTCAGCTCCTGGCAGGTGGCCTTGATGGTTTCTCAAAAGCAGTCACCACGAACAAGACTCTTCTCTGGGGCAAACCACATTGGTTCTTCATCAAGTCTACCAGTTTGTTTGTTTTTTGAGTTGGAGTCTCACTCTGTCGCCCAGACTGGAGTGCAGTGGCCGCTCCCGGCCACCGCAGCCTCGACCTGCTGGGCTCCAGTGATCCTTCTGCCTCAGCCTTCCAAGTAACCAAAATTACAGGCATGCGCTACACGCCCGGCTGATTTTTTATTTTCTTGTAGAGATGAGACACCAGTTGTTTTTAAGGAAAACCTGGCTGTGGCCAATTCTTCCGCTCCACTCCCAACCCAGGTGCCTGGTGTTCCCAAAAGCCCCGAATCCTAGCCTCTGTTGAGAGTTCAGGGGTCACAGTCTCTGTACCTCAGACACCCGCTAGGGAGGAAGGCGAGGGCTGAGCCACCCTCACTGAACGCCAGCACTGAGAAACTGCCCCCACTCCCTTGGCCTCGGTGACATGGCCTTGCTTGCCGGCCCTGCCCTGGTCACTCACGCCTTCTGTGCGTGCTGGCTTCGTCCGGATGCTACCTTGATTTTCCTGCTGTGATTCCCCTTCTTTCTGATGTCTCCACCAACTTTGAAACATGGCAAGGGTAGCGCCCTGCACACCAGCCTGCCCAGATGGCTGTGATGGAGCAGTGGCCTCTCCAGGGCTGACCACACCCTACCCTGGACAAGTCCTGTTCAGAATGAGGGTGCTTCCTGGAAGACAGGAAGTGACCCCAACTTAGCCACAGAGGCTGCTCTGACTTGAGCTGTTTCATGGGTGGGGGGGTGTGGCTGAGGGAGCCTGCCACTGCAGGGCCTGGCTGGCTGGTACTTCCCAAAACAGGCATAACTTACCTGTCCCAAAACGCACAGACTTCGTGTGCACTCTGATGAGTTGACAAATGTCTACACGTGTAGAATGCAGGACATCCAGGGTAGGGTGTGGCAGGGCTCACCAGGGGAAAGACGACTGTCCCCTCCCTGCATGGCTCCCGGGGCAGGGCCCCCACCTGCTCACCAAACAAAGGCACGACTAACAGTCATCACTGCTACCATTGGGGCATATTTTTCTTCATTTTTTCTACACATATTTTTGTAGACATGAAATCAGATCCCTTGCACAGTTTAGTGATTTTAGCCTTACCATAGTACGCACATTTCCTCATGTTGTCACTTTGTAAATATGATTTTTAAGTCTTTGGTGCTTATTTTGTGATGTTTGACTCAACCAGTGTTGGTAAGACAAAGAGCTGATGTTAGAGATGACTGCACTCTTAAAATGTAAATTTTATTTTTGAAATAAATGATACATTTACATGGCCCAAAATTCAAAAGACGCAAAAAAGGTATATACTACAGACAACCACTGTGACCAGCTTCTTGTCACCCCTCCTGCTTCTCCCTGGAATCATGCAAAATTTCATACCTACCGAAAGTTGGAAGAGCACAATAAATACCCAACACTGGCATCCCCGGCCCCTTCTCTGATTCCCTACAGAACCACGTTTCTGGGGCCACGCGGGAGCCTCGGCTGACCACTGAGGCCCCATGGGTTTCTGTCGCCTGTGCTTCTTCATGGTTGCACTACTGGGCCGTGTCAGTGGCCTTCGGTATTTCCCAACTAGACAGGCTGTGTTGTGTTTCCACTGATTTAGGGCTGTTTTGAGGACTTCCAGAAGCAGAGTTCAGGGTGTAAAAAGGCTGTCAGGCTGCCCACGGCCAGCTCTCCCAGCAGGGTGGTGCCGACAGGGGTTCCTGACCCACTCCTGCTCACAGGGTACCAGGCGTTTGGGCCAGGAGTCTTTCTGCTTTTGTGACATGTCCTTTCTTCTCCTTTGTCCATACTTGGCTCTTAAATGTTCCTCCTACTGGTTTGTACAAGCTTTTTTTTTTTTTTTGAGTTGGAGTTTCATTCTTGCTCAGGCGTTTTTAAGGTAAATATGCAACATCAATTCCCATTTGTTGCTATATCACTGTTTAGTATTATGGGGGGTTTTACATTTAATTTTTACATTCATTTATTTTTTTTAGAGACGGGGGGTCTTGCTATGTTGCTCAGGCTGGTCTTGAACTCCCAGGCTCAAGCGATTCTGCCACCTCGGCCTCCAGAGGAACTGGGACTACAGGTGGGCACCACCACACCCAGCAGATCTAGAAACTCTTTTTCCTCTGTGGCTTCCCTGTCGAGTTTAGAGAGACTTTGCTATTCAGAAACCAGAGACTGTTTCCCCTACTAATTTTGCGACTCTGTAACCTACTTGGTACTTTTGTGCCCACATAACTAAGCAGTGGCCCACACTGACCATAGAATCTCTTCCTACACAGATGCCGCCTCCATTACGCTAAGTCCCAGTGGGCTCTGCTGGGCTGCTTGGCCTATCAAGGGTCTGGCACGTGCTGGGGCTCCTGTCACCACTCTGGCAATTCTCACCTGTTTCTGTCTCCCAGACCGACAGGAGACAGCGAGGTGGCATCAAACAGCACAGGGCTGTGGTTCCACAGAGCTGGGTTCCAATGGCCCTGAGCAAAGTACTTAACCTGAGTCTCTTGGGCTGATGGTGAGGAGAATGTGAGGCTGTGAGACCTGAAGACCATGACTGGCACCCTCACAGGGCATGTGTGGGCACTATCTTGTGAGTTCCTGTCTTCCCCCAACAAAAAAAAATCCCAGTGGCGACTGTGTCTGGAATGCAGGTGGACCGGTACCTTCCTTAGGAGGGGTGTGATGTCTCTGCACAGTGTACTCGTCTCCCACCCAGGAACATGAGGCTTGTCTTCCGTTATCCTGTTTTCTCTTAGGTCTTCTGTAAAGCTCCACCATTCCGCCCAGCTTGGCACTCCTGACTAAGGCCATTTCCCGGAACGCTGTGAGTCCTGTGCCGTTCTGGACTTTCTGTGCGTGCTTGTGTCCAGCAGGGCACTTCTGCGACATGGTTTTGTTCGACATGGCTGGAGATGTGGAACTGAGATCTGAACCCTCTGACGCCCTCCCACAGTTCTGTGAAGAGACAGCCCCAGCTCTACCTTGGGGCATCCTCCCCAGGGTGGGATATGACCTGCCCTGGTGGCTGCTCCCCCATAACTGCCGCCTGGGCAGGCTGGTGTGTGTTTCAACAACAACCAGGCAGGAAGATCCGCCTGCTGACACTCTCCTGGCAGTGGGCCTGGCTGGCGGGGCTGAGGCACCTTTGCATGGCTCAAGCATCAGACGCCACCAGGTTTGGAAAAGTCTAGTTTATTGCACTGTCTCAAAGCACAACTAAAAGTTAAAACCAGAAAGAAAACTGTACAAAGCACTGAAGCAATACGTAGTTTAAAAGTACCAACTAGATGGGTTCAATTGCACTAAAGTCCCGTGGGTTGAGGAGAGCTCTGCCATCGTGAGGGCCCGGGCAAGGCACAACAGACACAGGAGAGGACACCCGGCCTGGGGCAGCCTCTGCTGTCACCAGCTTTACAAAACGGTTCTAGAAAAGTGGAGTGTGAAGGAGGATCTGGGAAGTCAGTGTCTCATCGTCACTGAGACCTGGAAAGCCTCCGTCTTCATGGCTGGCTGGGTCCTGTCAGAGAACACACTTGATCGTTCTCCACCTGTGGCCTGGGACCCCTGACACTGAGCCCGGGCCTGGGCCCGGGGCAGGGTAGGGCAAGCAGCTGATTGAAGGCTGCTGGAGTTGCCCCAGGAAGACAGAGGCTCAGGGCAGGGTGGGCGGGGCAGCCTCGTCCCGAACTGCCACAGAAGGGCGGGCACTGCCCACTGTCCAATAGGCCGCAGCAGCTGTCCACGCAGGCACCTGCTTCAACCCACTGGGTGTCGATCTAGAGCCTGTGGAGCCAGCGGCTGCTCCTGGGACCGTGCAGCCAGGACATGCCGGGGATGCCCACCTTCTGGAGCTGCAGGCGAGGGTAGTACAGGCTCAGGCCAACCCCCGGAAGGAACAAAGGCCTTCTGCCGTTCAGAAAGTACACTTCTCTTCTACACTTGTAAGGTTTGATTTCAAATGAGGTATCTTAGGCAGTTTGTAATACAACAAACAAAAAAGGCAATAATTACTAGGCTCATCCTCTGAGGACACGCCTGGCTCAGGACGTCCACTGGCAGCACTGGTCCCACAGCATTCCACAGATGTCCTGCAGGAGCTGCTATGGCCACTCCCCACGCCCGCAGCACCTCCCAGGCCGCCGTGCCCAGGACACACGTGCACATGTCCATGTCCCTCTGCATCATCGGCCTTTATTGTTTCGGCTGTGTGTGTGGTCCGGGAGGCGGGCAGCGAGGTGTGGCAAGTGTGCATGTGTACATTTGTACGTGTGCTCTCCGTCCCGGCAATGCCCAGGCCCCCTTCAAGCCCAGCCCTGTTCCCCATCTGGGGCGTCTGCCATGAAGCATGCTCTGGGCCCTTGTTTCTGGGGCCATGATGGAGATGCTGTTGGGCACATCCATCCGCTACAGAGTGCCGGCCTTCCGCTCTATCCGGCCCCGGGGCTGCTAATGTGGAAACAGTCCCTGTGCCAACCTGGCTGCCGGCGGGGCTTCGTATGTTCCCTGCTCCCGGTTCTGACTCACCCTGCCCATGGGAGGCCTCCCGAGGCGTCTCCCACCACCGGGCCCGGGAGATGCTTGTGGTGAGAACAGGACTGCGGCACACGGGTGATGGTAGTGCATGCAACGAGGGAGCAGCCACAGCCCTCAGAGACAACCTTGGCCAGGGCTCAGTGGCGCTGCTGCCGCAGCAAGAGCTCCAGCCTTTGCAGAGGCTGTGGGTTCTGGAACGAGACAGAAACAAACACGGATGAAAGCAGGTGTGCAGTGTCCAACCTGGCCAGAGGTGTCAGGACAAGGGTGGATGCGGCGTGTTCACCAGAGAGCGATTCAGAAACCCACTGTGTCCACCACAAACGCCTGGCCCTCCTGGGTGACTGCCCAGGGCTCCTTCAGATGACCTCCCACTCATCTTCCAGGTCCTCGCGGTGGGGTGTGGTGGCCTGACTCTTCTGGGTACCACGCGAGTGGCTGAACGTCTTGGTCAGCCGCTGGAGGAGGTAGCCAGGGGGCCCCACTGCCCACAGTTCATCCGCCGAGGTCACTGCAGAGACAAGAGCCAATGGCACACTTGTTAGTTATGCAACTGAGGGGAAGGGTAGGGATAGAGTTGGTGCCTGGGTCCGGTCTAGGTGGGCTGTGTTCTAGCTGTGTGCTCTGGACAAGCCAGTCCCCAATTTGTGCTTTGCTCCCTCAACTTTTTTTTTGAGTTGGAATCTCACTCTGTTGCCTGGGCTGGAGTGCAGTGGCATGCTCATGGCCACTGCAGCCTTGACCTGCTGAGCTCAGGTGATCCTTCTGCCTCTGTCTTCCAAGTAGCTGGAACTACAGGCACGCGCCACCATACCTGCCTAATTTTTTGATTTATTGTAGAGATGAGGTCTTGCCAAGTTGCTCAGGCTGGTCTCAAATCCATGCGCTCAAGCAGTCCTCTCACCAAAGTGCTGGGATTATAGGCGTGAGCCACCACGCCCAGCTGCTTCCTCAACTTCAAAGTAGGGTGTCCCAGCACCCTGTCCTTGTCCCAGGAAGTTGGCAGAGAGTGGGTATCTGGGTCCCTTCCCTCAAGCAAGACCCTGGGACGGGCTCCTGCCGGGCAGGCTTTGCCCTCAGTTCTCACCTCAGAAGACAGAACCCAGTGGGGGCAGCTATGTCGAGAGTCCTCTGACATGGTCCAGAGGAGCCCTGACACCCAAGGGAACCCCGCAGCCTCGAGCCCCTGACCCCAGCACCTGCCTGTGACACACAACACGCTTCCGGGGATTTTCTTCCAGTAGTCTCCAGCAGGGTTTTTGTCTGTGATGCCATACCGCCGGGCGAGGTCTCCATTTGGACAGCGGGCCCACACGGTCCTGGTGCTCAGCGCCAGCTGGCAGGCCTGTAACCCTGCAGGCAAACAGGGCACCCGTCCTCAGCACCCACTGTGGGTGGGATGGACCATGCTTCCCAAGCCTGCCTGCTCCAGATGCTATGCTCTCCCACTAGGGTGTCCCATGGCAACAGAGTGCCCTGCGCCAGGCTGGGCTGGGAGCAGAAACTGAGGGAAGCCACCAGCAGCCCGAGGCCAAAGGACAGACGGGCCTAGACAGTGTGAGAACCTGTTATCCCACAAAAGCATGAGCTGGGATAGTAAGGAATTCTTATTTCTTATTCTTATCTTTGTTTGTTATTATCTTTGTTTGTTTGTTTGTTTGTCAGGGTCTTACTCTGTCACTCAGGCTGGAGTGCAGTGGCACAATCACAGCTCACCACAGCTTGGACCTCCTGGGCTCAGGCAATCCTTCTGCCTCAGCCTCCTCAGTAGCTGGGACTACAGGCGTGCATCACCATGCCTGGATTATTTAAAAAAATTTTTTGCAGAGATGAGGTCTTGCTATGTTACCCAGGCTGGTCTCAGACTCCTAGGCTCGAGCGATCCTCTCACCTCAGCCTCCCAAAGTGCTGGGATTATAAGCGTAAGCCACTGTGCCCGGTCTTATTCCTTATTATTGATAAGGGATGCTTATTAGATACTTGTCACCTGCCTCAGTAGAGCAATGAAAACAAAACACCAACACGGATCTGTGGCTGCTGAGGGGAAAACAGGCTGCTTTCCAGACAGCAGGCATGAGGGGCCCGGCAGCCCAGCAATGGCAGACCGGCCCACCCAGCATCACAGGCTGTGGCTGACGACACGCTGGCTGGCAGCCCCAGCTGTGTGGGGTCAGGGTGACATGGGTCTGCTGGCTCCTACCTGGCACGTGCTCCCAGTCGGTCCCCACGGGCATCTCCTCGGTGATTCCGGCCCGCACGTGCACGTTCCACCTGCTGTCGAGCGCCCACAGCATCTGGTCGTTGGGGCTGGAATGGACGCTAACCAGGCTGACCCCAGCGGGCTGGAAGCAGGAAGGGGCTTTCAGGGAAGGCAGGGGTGGGTGCCAAGGGGAAGGACTCGAGTTTTGGGGCATTGGGGATGCGTCAGTGCCGTGGGTGGCGGCATGCCACCTGACATGGGGATGGAGCAGCAGGGTGGCCCCAAGGGAGGCACCATGGCACCATGCACAAGTGGGGAAAGAGGTATCAACGTCAGGTGGACCAGAGTAAGGGCCAGCCCAAACTCCAGCTAGAGACAAAGAAAGGCAGGACGGCTCAGATTACAGCAGAATGAAGAAACTTGAGAAGAAACACAAGGTGGGACCTGGGCTGTGAGAACAGTCCAGAAAAGTGCTGTGTTGCTCCCCTGGCAGCACGGGAAGCACCACGCAGGGAGCACAAGGTGCTGAGTGGGAAACATGGACAAGCTGAGGCCTGGTGCCTGTACAGCCCGCCCTGGCCTCTCAGCCATCCTGCAATCTGTGCCTCTGGACAGGCAATGTCCCAACTTCCCAAGCCATGGGAGAAGAGGGTGAGGAAAGCCAAGTGGGTGCAGAGCTGTCTGGAGGGCCCAGGCCTCAGATCCCCGTGGTGCTGGCAAATGACCCAAGTCCCAGAGGTCTGGCTAGTTAGTGTACAGCTTCTTGGGTCTTTCTCTGAAGGCAAAAGAGAACTTCTGACCAAGCCTGGAGCCCACCAGCTTGGTAGCTGTACCGGGTGTGAGAGCAGCTCGCTGTCTTAGGTTCTGCACTAGAACAGTCAACTCTGTGATTTCTGTTTTTTCTTTTTGAGTTGGAGTCTTACTCCTTTGCCCAGGCTGGAGTGCAGCGCTCATGGCTACCCCAGCATCGACCTGCTGGGCTCCGGTGATCCTTCTGCCTCAGCCTTCAGAGTAGCTGGAACTACCACGCCCGGGTATTTTTTATTTTATTGTAGAGGCAAGGTCTTGCCAAGTTGCCGGGACAGGTCTCAAACCCACGGGCTCAGGCAATCAATCCACCCAGCTTGGCATCCCAAAGTGCTGGGATTACAAGCTGAGCCACCGAGCCCGGCCTGTGATTTCTTATAAGTGTCAAGTGCACTTATACCTCAGTTAAAATGCATCTATCTCAATTAAAATCTCAATTAAAAAAAGAAGTAGGCTGGGCTTAGTGGCTCAGCCTGTAACCCCAGCACTTTGGGAGGCCGAGGCGAGTGGACTGCCTAAGCCCGCGGGTTCGAGACCAGCCTGGGCAACTTGGTGACACCTCGTCTCTACAATAAAATAAAAAATCAGCTGGGTGTGGTAGAGTGTACCTGTAGTTCTGGCTACTTGGAAGGCTGAAGAAAAAGGATCACTGGAGTCCAGCAGGTCAATGCTGGGGTGGCTGTGAGCATGCTACTACACTACAGCTGGGGCAACGGCGTGAGATTCCAACTTAAAAAAAAAAGAAGTAGGTGGCTGGGCATGGTGGCTCACTTCTGTAATCCCAGCACTTTGTGAAACAGAGGCGAGAGGACTGCCTGAGCCTATGGGTTCAAGACCAGCCTGGGCAACTTGGCGAGATTGCATCTCTACAATATATTTAAGAAACTAGCTAGGTCTGGTGGTGTGCGCCTGTAGTTCCAATTACCTGAAAGGCTGAAGTGAAAAACTGCCTGAGCTTAGCAGGTTGAGGCTGTGGTGGCTATGAGTATACCATTGCACTCTAGCCTGGGTGACAGAGAGACTCTGACTCAAAAAAAAAAAAAGAAAAAAAAAGTGGGGTTGGGTATGGTGGCTTATGCCTGTAAACACAGTGCTTTGGAAGGCTGAGATGGGAAGATCAACTGAGGCCGGGAGTTTGAGACTAGCCTGGGCAACATAGCAAGACCCTGTATCTAAAAAAAAAAAAAAAAAAAAAACTGGGCCTGGTAGTGCCTGTAGTTCTAGCTACTTGGGAGGCTGAGGTAGGAGGATTCCGAGAGCCCAGGAGTTCAAGGCTGCAGTGAGCTATGATTTTGACATTGCATGTCAGCTTAGGTGACAGAGCAAGAGCCAGTCTCAAACAAACAAAAAAAAGTAGGCGCCTAAAATTGACTTATTTATATTCAAAACTCTATAAAAATGAAAAAAATAAGGGGTGCAACTTGTAAAATAGAATTGTTATGGAGTTTAAAAATAATTTGGAAATGCAAAAAAAATTATGTAATGTCTTGGTGAGCTTCCAGAGAGAGAAAGAGAGGGAGGGAGGGAGGAGGTGTATGTTTGTTTTTAAGTGTCCCTTAAAGACGGGTGTGGCCCCCTTTCTGGGAGTGTCCTGTGATTTCATTACAGCCTGGACAGTTCCAGATCACAGGGCTGCTCAGGGCTGTGAGGTTTCTCTTCGACACGACCTTAGGTGAAGAGTAGGCTGCTCTCCCATGTCCTCAGCAGGCAAAGATTACATCTCCCCTAGTTACTGCAGCGAAGAGGACTGCGCTTCCCATTTTCCAAGCCACCAGCACTGCAGGATGAACCGTGAGTCTCTCAAGCCAGGCTCGGTGGCTCAGCCTGTAATCCCACGCCTTGGGAGGCTGAGGTGAGTGGATTGCCTGAGTCACGGGTTCGAGACCCGCCTGGGCAACTTGGTGAGACCTCATCTCTACAATAAATCAAA